CTCTCTGCATAACGCGCTAGATCCAATGGGTCTCTATCAATACCTCTGAACAGCTTATCATTTCGAACCTTCCAAATATACCAAATTAGCTAGGGATAAGGATCCCTATCCAATTCCGGCTCCATTATAGATTTTTTCCTCCAGAAGAGATAATCCATATCTGCATAAGTCCTCTGAAGTGGAAATAAAGAAGGACTGGTAAGCATAGATGATAAGGCCCAAACTTTCAATGCAGGTGGACACTGGAAGATTGCATGCGTAATTGATTCTTCGGATTTGCCCACATCGTGGGCAGTGGTTATCACATCTAATATGTCTGTAATTTAATATACTCGTAACAGCCACATGACTTGTTATAAATTTCCACATAAGATGGCATATCTTTTGGGGTGTCTTTACCTTCCAAGCATGTGCTTGAAGCTTTGTGGTTCTAGGTTCACAAACAACAGAGTCCTCTTCCTTCATCAAAATTAGGGGTGGGCACAATTACTTGTTACTCGGCTTGTACTCGCTACTTGATTCGTACTTGGCTCTTAAAATCGAGTACTCGTTTTGTCCAAGTCGAGTATCAAGTCGTTTGTTTCAATTACTTGCAAGTACAAGACAAGTACCAAGTACTAAAATAAAAATAACTACTTGGCGTTGTTGGCTTGTTACTCGTGATTTATTACTTGATTTATTACCCGTTTTTTTATTTTTAGACAAACAAATCTCTAAATTATAATCAAATTACTTGTTTATAAATAAAACAAATAAATTAAAAGTGATATATTATAGAAATATTTTAAAGTTTTCTTTTAATTTTATATTTATCATATATCGATTTAAAAACATATGAAAAGTAAATATATATTCTTTATTAAAAATTGTTTAGATTATTATTATAACTAACTAAATGTTTTTAAATTCATATACTAGATTTAAGTAGCAAACGTTAACAAATTTTTATTAAATAATTTATAAATAATTATATAATCATTTATAAATTAGTTGAGATGCAACAAGTAGTAAAACGGAGCAAGTACTTGCAAGTATACCATTTTTAGCAAGTACTTGAAAGTGCAAGTACTCGTTTTTAATAAACAAAGTACAAGTCCAAAATTTTATTACTCGAACAAGCCAAGCCAAGTAGCAAGTAAGCCAAAAATGGCAAGTACTTGGCTTGTGTCCACCCCTAATCAAAATATTCCGTGCTACCCAATATCCAGATTTAACTGTATTGTCCATTCCTTGTATAACTCCAGCAATACGTATCACAGTGACGCGTGGAACTAATGGCCAAACTCTTAATGAGTGGTATATCGGCATCAGCTACATAATTCTCAAGGCGGCTCTCATCCCAAGTCTTTGTTGCTTGATTAATTAAATCACTCACTCTCATGTTCGGGTTCAAAACCGGTGCAGATGGGGTTGTTGGTCTCGTTGGGATGGTAGGGATCCAAGGATCGTCCCAAACTTTCACCTCATAACCCGGGTGAACTTTTGTCTAATTCCCAGCAATAGTAATTCTCGTCCCGCCGATATGCTTGTCCACACATATGATGGGCTACTAATAGTGAGCTGACACAAAGGCGAACTCAATCTGTAGTACTGGCCTCTCAAAACTCGAGCTACCAGAGAATTTGGATATTGTACCAATCTCCATAATTTTGTTGCTAGCAGCGCCAGGTTGAACTCATGTATCATCCTAAAACCAATCCCTCCTTCCTCTCTAGATAAGCATAACTTGTCCCATGTTGTCCAGTGTATACCTCTTTTTTTTTGGGGGGGGGGGGGGGT